TATAAGAGATGTTCCGTGTAACTCAAATTTTGATAAATTATTATCATTTATTATCACTTCAAAAATCGTATACTTTGATTAAGTTAAAATTTAATAACGTGCATGAATAATATTACAGATGAATAATATTACATTGATATCTTCCTATTAATTTAAATAAACTTAATAATAAATGCGAGTTTTTTTTACTCTCAGAAATATTCCGCTCTTCCGTTTTTTTCCATCTCTTGTAACTGAGATAGTATCCACAAATTAAAAGTCTTAAATTTTATTTTAAAAATAATCAAGATGAATAAGTACAAATAAAAATTTTAAATTTCATTTTGATTTAGAAGTTTTATGATTCAATAATCAATATGTTAATTTATACGATAAGTACACATAACTAAAAAAAAACAAAATTAGCAAAATCTAATGCAAAATGAGTGTAAAAATTACTAAAAAAAAATTATTGTTAAGCAGTGACTAAATTTATTTCAGAATTAATAAAAATGTAATATTCATTTAATCTAATTAGAAATCTATATTATCGTATATGTTTATCAATAAAATATTAATATAAAATTTATTAATTATAATTAATAATATAATTCATTGCATTCTATTGTGTATTCTATTAATTTATTTAATCCATTATTTATTTTATTAATCTAATTTTCATTTTATTCTATAATAAATTTAAGTAACAAATGTATGTATGTAACGTAGATAAGTTTTTAAATGAATGCAGTAAAAATGTAATAAGAAAACTATTAGTTCCGCCGTTTTTCCATGGATTATACCTTAACATGTTACTAAAAAATAATTACATTATTCATCGGTTGACGTCATTCTGAAGGACGTAGACAACGACTTTTACGATTCGTCGCTTTTCTAGTAGAGCAGAGCGTGTTATCTTCCACGAAGTTTCAGTCATAACCAGTCTACAGAAAGATCACGATGGATCATAAGACAGATAAAGAGAAAATTAAAAAAGTACATTGGCCTCAATGGATTGCCGGTATCGGAGGTACGTATCCCGTATATCAATGTGTTATTATATTAAATATATTAATTAAATACATTAATAAAAATAATTTTAATCCAGTTCCTTTAAATATATTAATCAAAATATTTTAATCTGACTTTTTAAATATATTAATCTGGTTTTTTAAATATATTAATCAAAATATTTTAATTTGATTTTTCAAATACATGAATATTTAGATGACGAAAAAAAATGTCTAGTTGAATTTACACATGTATATAAAGAAAATAATCATTCGTTCATTAAAATTAAAATATAAATAACGGCTAATATAATTTTTTGCTTTTCAGTCAATCTTCTACAGCTGCAGATGGGACTAATATCAGTCTGGAGCTCACCGTACATCGCATATCTGACTTCATCCGAATCTCACATCCCCATAACAATGGACGAGGCTTCCTGGGTAGTTTCTCTACTGAACCTAGGCAGGCTAATTGGCGCCGTTTCTGGTTCTGTTGGCGTTAACTATCTCGGCACTAAAACAACGATCTTCGTGACGAGTTTGCCAATAACTCTCTGTTGGCTCCTTATAATTGTGGCTAATCGAGTGGAATGGCTGTACGCAGCCAGGTTACTAGCTGGCATCAGTCTAGGAAAGATGTACAGCTGCTTTTCGCTTTACTTAGGCGAGATCGCGGATCCTAACATTCGCGGAGCTCTAGTTGTATTAGGTACGCGCTATATGCTTGTGTGCGTGTATGTGTAAATCTTTACAAACGCAGAACATTTTAAAAATCAAAGAGTGACTAAAAATCAAGAGATACTTGATATCAAGATATTTTGAAATGATAACCGGTCAATGATTCTATTCATTTAATTATCGAATGACTACATTATAAAGCAAAATATTCCTTTCAAAGTTGATAGCAGATATCGAGATATTAGCATTCACGATAATGTGAAATAACTATATATATACGCAAAAAGAAAAATTTTATTATTGCAGCAATACGATATTGTATGTTCTATATGAGCGATCAAACTCCAGTATAACCAGTTATTTGATATTATAGCAAAATTTGTGTTATTAAAAAATTTTCGAGTAAATTTGTTCATAAAAATATTAATGTGCTGCTAAAGCAAAGGAAAATATCAAGCTTTATCGGTATTTTCCGGCTAATATGAAGAAGTCCCTACGAGGTGCATATATACAAATTATATATCATATTAAAGGGCTAATTAAAAGGAATCGAGGATATTGTTGATCTTGGAAAGCATGGAAAAAATGATTAAAAACAATAATATTATCACATATTTATAAAAAGTTGTTAAATAAGACAAATCAAGGCTTCGGGAATCAAGCAACAAAAGAACTGTTACTTAAATATTTATAACTAGATAAATATGTTTGTTATTCAAAGTCAGAATTCACAACGAAACAATTATTTTATATTTCTCTTTATCGTTCGTCAATCGATCGAAAATTTTCTCCAAGTTATACGTGTTTAAGTAATAATGCGGTCTTTGTTGCTTAATTTTTTGATACCTTGATATCTTATTTAACACTTTTTTTTATCAATAAATATGATAGCATATGTTTTTATTGTCTTTGGACACGATTTCTTCTATGTTCCTGATGTCTTTCCAAGATAAGCGATACACCATTCGACTTCACCGCTCGCTTAAGTAACCGTTAATATTGACATATAATTTGTATATCTCGGAGTTTCTTCATGTTGACCAGGAAACTTAACATCCTCCTTTAATTTATTACCAAAGAGAAATAGCAAAATATCTCTAGTACATACATTTTCCTCGATTAAAATAATTTACACAATTCACAAAATAATATTAAGAAAATAAAGTTAATATTTTTAATAATTTTTTTTACTAAATATAGTGAACTAACTATAATATAATATATCGTGTCAAAAGAGAACTTTCATCCCCATTATATAATAGATATACAATTATCAATTTGCATCTATTGTATCTATTTGTACAGAAATACTTTTTGATTTTTATAAAACTAATAAGATAAGATATAATGCAAAAGAAACAGCTAAAAATCCTAAAGAATTAAAGCGCATACAATTGCATTAATCGATAAATAATTATACATATAAGCTAATAACAAGACTCAATTTCTTATTTGCAGGTATAAGCGGATTATCGATAGGCAATCTAGCGATGAGCATAATGGGCGCGTATTTAAGGATGGACGTGAGTGCTACCATATGCTTCATTCTTTGCTTCGTATTGATAATCATCTTCATTTGGCTGCCGGAATCACCGCATCATTTCGTCAAGATGAATAACGACGCTAAAGCGCGAACCTCGATACTGTGGTACCACCGTGATTGCGATGTGGAATCGGAGTTGCAAGCACTGAAGCTCTTTCACGAAAAGAACAAAAGCCTGCCCCTCGTGGACGTTATGAGGGAATTCAAAATTCCATATATTTGGAAAGCGCAGATACTCGTCTCTCTGCTCTTCATGTACCTTCAGTTGTGCGGCCTAAACAACGTGTTATTCTACATGGAGACCATCCTGCGAAACGCCAAAGTGACCGTCATGGAGCCGTCGGTGATCGTAATTATCGTCACGGCTACCGGGATCGTCGGCTGCATGCTCTCCATGTTCCTGATAGACAGGTTCGGCAGGCGAAACTTAATGATCGTCTCCACTCTGGCCGTCACGATCTCGTTAAGCTGCGTGGGAGTGGTGTATCAGCTTCTCGACGCAGGCTTTGACTCCGTCGAACTTCAGGCCCTACCGATTTTCTCGGTGTTGCTCTTCCAGATAGCTCTATACATCGGCATCATTTCGATACCCAACACGGTACTGGGCGAGATCTTTCCACCGCATGTTAAGTGCGTGGCCGGCTGCTTCGCCAGCATCGTCGGCGCGATATCCTCCTTCATCTCCACGTCGACGTATCAGCCTCTCATCAATTTGCTCACGGAAAAATATCTGTTTTTCGTGTACGCCTTGGTCCTGGTAACTGCCGTGCCGTACACCTACTTCTGCATGCCCGAGACTAAAGGCAAGTCGTTGCAGCAGATTCAAGAAGAGCTGGACAAAAGAACTGAACAGAAAAGTTGAGTCGGCTCGAATAAATTTAGCGAATTATCTTGATGATCGGTTTACACGTGCTAGAACAACTCGTTTTCTTGCATTTATTACAGAAAGTTTTTCATAGTCAGTTACGTCGATGTTAGTGTGAGTAATGTTGCTGAGGCCAATAATTATCTAATCAATTGCAATCGTAAAGCAATATTTATCTAAGCAAAACTAGATTATTTAAATATTCGCGGAACAAAAACCAGCTGGATTGATGAAAAACATCTGATGAATATGTATTAAAATATTTACTCACTTCTATTCATTGTATATTATCTTTGCACATGCATTAAACTGTAAGAATAATTTAATTTCCAATTTTATTTATTATACACTGTATATTATAAATTTAATATATTAACTTATATATTATATTATTAATATATTAACTTATAGTTAATATATTAACTTATATATTATATATATGTTAATTTAATATATATATATAACTGTATATTATAAATTTAATTAATGACCTAATAAAGATATAGTAATAAGGATCATATCTACACTTCTGTTCAAAAATATTTGCCCATCTCGATTTTTATGTGTATCTTTTTTATTCCGTTCTAATTCCATTATTCTCTTTACATAGAATGCATAATTCTAAGCCATCAAATATTATTATACCTAATTAAGCCTAACATCTAAAAAATTAGCGAAGAAGATTGCAACTCACTCATCTTTATTTAATTAAGGAAAACAGAGTGGACAAATACTTTTAAACGGTAATGTATTTGCAATTAGACATTTAATTAGATTAATTAACATAATAATGAATGATAGATCGATAAAACTGCAGATGTGTCACAGACATGCAGGATGACTAATATTTATCTAATCTTTCTTGGAATAATCGTTAACAGAGATATGTTTTTGCCGACGACATAATTATTTGCTATAAATTATCACTTTGCGAAGTATTTGAAAGCAAAAGGTGCGAGTAAGAAATGCATTTAATTTTCATATTATCGGTTACGTGCTGCTTCCAAATACGCGAGACGATGTATTGAAACGTCAATGCTGCACAAAAGCAAATAAGATTTCAAATACGAAACGGTAGATTCTCGTAAGAATACAAGAAGTACTTCGGAGAAAAATCTCTCTTATATTCCACGTTACTGTACGCAATATATCGTACAATGTAACGTGAAAAATGGTTCTAGTGAGTTCTGTATGTAAATTAATATCTTACCGACAAAACTCGCGTATAATTAAGCGGCAATCGCGCAGAATCTCGTCAAATAGAAATATTGTAATTATTTTTCTTCCCCGGCGAGCATAAGGTATTGTAACGTCGACGGTGGAACTCGGCCAGATTCATATTTTACAAGACGATAATTTCACTTGGATGGTCACCAGCGACAACATTAAAAGCGCAATGGGGCCGTGATCCTAGGCCATAAATTCAACACTATCTTATCTTGCGCAGGTCATTGCCAATGACGTTTTATATTTATACCGCAGGAAAAATAAAACCAACATGGCAATTAATCTAAAAATAACTCTGCGATAAAAAAGAGAAAGTTTGCAAAGAGAATGTATTATATATGCGTATTAAAAAAAAAAGGACACAATTGTAACATCTCAATAAATCAAGATCATAATAATATCTCAATAAATGCAAATAAGCAGCTAGAAAACGTAGAAAAGAATGAATTTGAAAACTATCTGTACACTGTTGGAAAAGTGTTATATTTAACACATTTCACGTATCCCAAACGGTCCACTTAAATTTTTGTGTCAATTTAACATAAGATAAATATGCTAGAAACTAACATAAATATTATATTTAAAAATTAACATAAAAAATGTAACACTGACAATTTAAGCAAACTGTAGAAGCATATATTTTCAATAAAATTAACATTTATAGTATGTTAAATTAACACGTATTTTATTCATTTATATTAGAATTTATGTTTTAAAATACATTATTTTTATGTTTATTTGTTTTGCATTTATACTTACACATAAATTGTGTTTTTTTAACACTAAGAAATGTTGAATATTAATTTAACACAAAATATTTAAATAATATATAATCACATTATGTAAATGAACATTCGAATATGTTAAAAATATCAACACAAAATGTTAACAAACAAATGAGTGAACCATTTCTAACATAAATACGAAATTTTTTTTACTGTGTATAAATCTGTTACTGAAAAAAAACAACTAATTGTAAGAATGATTGATATGGTAAATAAAATTCTTTCAATACAAAATTTATATATATAAATTTTATTTTTGCGTTTCATTTACATAACAGATCCTGCTGCGACCTTTGATCGAACAATGTGATCGTATTTTCCCTATATATCGACATACTCGACTAGGATTTTAAATTCATTACCGTAGAATATCATTAGAGCTGCAAAAGGTGCATAAACCAATAACTGTAACCACCGCATCATGGGCAAACATTGTATAGGCATAATGCTTCGTAATGCACCAATTAAATTAGGGTATGAGATAAATGGGTTACCCGCGTATATCGGGTTTCGATCGCACCGAAATGTTTGCGTTTTATTTACGTGTATTACGCCGTTTTTCGCGGGCATATCGCAATCAGCAAAATTTTCTTTTTGCAAAGTAGGGATAATTGCGAGAACGTGCGTAACAGAATGTGTAAAAATAACTGTTCGTGCAAAAAGAGTGAAATCGAGTGAAGTAAAAAAGCACAGTCGTGGCAGTCAGTTGTTTAAACAACCTCTTGCCAAGTGTATGCATAAAATTCTAGGTAGACTGCACGATTTATATACGAAAACAGGCGGAAACATTTTCTGGAGGGCACTCGGTTCTACTTAATTTAGATTTAGATATAACGAATACCCCGTCCGGGTGCTGCCTCTTATCCGTACGTGCGCTTCCTTTACGACTGTTCGTCCTTTTATTTTGTAAGGATCGTTACAGTTTAGTACTCGTAATAAAAGAGACTATCGCGTAAGAGCGCCATTTTTATCGTGAAATTAAACGCGACAATCTACGCGAAGCGGCTGAGAACTTGATAAACTCCAATAAAGTAACTAAATTTACGATCAGCTATTAAATAATATCAGCACTGTATATCCGTAGCTATTAATTACGTCATGTATAAAAAAAGCAAAATTACACTTCTCTCACTATTGTCAACGGCGTTTCCAAAATTGAACGATGTGCAGTCTAAAATTAGTGGACTAATTTGTCACCCTAATTCTCTCTCTCGCGCTTCGGGGGCCGCATTGTCAGGGGAATTAAAGGCAAGCGGCTAAGTGGAAACGCGCGCCGCTGCTGTTTAATATTTGTTATTGTTCGGTTTTGGCACACGGCGATGAGAAAGAGCCGCGAGCAGGGACTCGAACCTACTTTGCGACTCCGCAATTACTGCAACTTTCAACTCAACGAAAATGGCCTCGATCGGGGGTGCCGCGCGGATACCTCAGCGTCTTTCGCCGCCGCCGCGAGAAAGTTTGTCAAACCGCGTAACGAGCGGAGAGTGTAATTGCCAGCCGAGCACAAACTCGATTGTCCTTCGAGAAACCTCCGACGTCCGCTCCGGAACTACCAATCACATTAGACCTGTCTGCAAGTAAACCCCGAGACAATTATCCCCCGCCCTTACGCTCTAGTCGGGTATTCATATTTTGTGGCAAACAGTTATTTTCAACGTCACCCAACCCGACGGTAACCGTTGTGGCACCTGCCTCCGATAATACAATATTCGTTCGATATAGTTTAACATGGTATACAATTGGGACTACACGCGAATTCTTGTAGAAATTAAAATTAGTTTTTCCACACTTTCTGGATGCGGAGTAACGATTGAGAAGTTGTTGCAACTAAATAATTATTATTTTGTGTACACTTAATAAATCAATAGAATAAAATGTATTAAACACTGTTATAAAAGAGACACATTTTTATTAATCCACGGTGAAAAAGAATACGCATGTATAAACTTATAGAAATAAATAATTGAAAAAAGGATTAAGAATTCGGCTGATTGACATAACTCATATATATTTTTGAAATAATCCTAAATTTCCTTTTCAATAATCAAGTCGCTTTTAGAAACTATTAAGTGCACTATCTAATGATATGATACAATAATTGTATGCCTTCGAAAAATTCCAAGTAAATTTCTTTCATGGAAATAGAGTCTCAGAGATCTTTGATATATATACCTAAATATCATCATGCAGATAGATAAGTTTTTTGTCTTTTTAAAAATTTATAAATATATATTCATTTTACATTATAGGTTAACAAAAAAAATGCAAGTTTTTTCTGCAAAATAATGTTTAATTCAAACACTATTAGTAAGAAAAATTAGTATAAAGAATTGAGACTGCGAAAAGTTTAAACTTCAGCAAGAGAATGGTCAATGCGGTTTGAAGCGGTTTGCGGTGCTTAATAATAATATTATTATTGCGTATATCTCACAAACCCCAGTCACCGCTAACTGCGTCACAAATTTGCCAGTCTTGAAACACAGCTGTAGACTGAATACGAGTGTTTAACTCATTTCGTTCTGTCCATTCATTATAAAACAACAGTTTTAATATTGATATAACGTCCCGATTGTCACTCTGTGTACAGACGTTTTTGTAAAGAGGATGGTAAAACAAATTATATATGTTATTCGTAACTTAAACAGATTAGTGATGCCCATCGTTTTTTCCTTATTTCACAAATGAATCATTCCAGTCTGATTATGACGCAGTTACGCGGTGCTAATGGAAGAAAGGGTTTATGCATGTCCATCGTATCGCTAAAACGAAACCATTCGTCTCGTTCACCCTAAAAACCCTCGTTTAATTTGCGCGAGAGCTGTTCCTCGCGTGACGGGCGAAAGAGGAGAATACTTTCGTTCTCGTATAGGTACATATAAGAATAAGTTCGTGCTTGAGCCGAAAACGGACAGGCAGGCAATAATGGGGATTCTGATTCGGGCAAGAGCCGCGAGAGTCAAGCGAAGAGCCTTCGCGCGCAATTTTGCAATGCAATTACCTGTCGCCAACAATCTCCCTGAGTTTTCCCCAAGTTTCCCCATTCGCTACTCTTCTCAGTGCTTTAAAATTCAACGAACCGTGCGGAGGGATCGTCTTTCTATTCGCTGTCAGAATATTTCCTTGCCGCTCTCATTACACAAATCATTCAACCAACCGTGAAAATCAAAGAAATCGTACGTGAATGTGCTCGTAGATTCGACATGGTAAATCATTGTAGTTTTTCTGCTTACACAGATCAATACAGATTATACGTTTTTTTCTTCGTTTTTATCTTGTACAAAGAAATGCTAGATCAAACAAGATCACACTCACAA